TACGACCGAGTAACGGACCTCAAGTGGGCGATCAGCGACCTTTACTGCGGCATCACGCCAATCAGTTTGATCAAGGAGTGGGCTCCCCTCTTCGGTACTCCTCTGTCAATAGCACACACAGTGATACACAAGTTCAACGGTCGAACGCGAGAAGGAGCGTGGTATCACAGCAAGAGACAAGGAGTCAAAGTACACCGGGCCTCGAGGCGAGTGGAGCGATGACTATGGATACATTTGTGAGGATGGTTACTGTCCCTGTGGTGGGCGTCTGGAGGACCATAAAGGCGGGATCTGTCCAAGACCTACACTTAACCCACACGACGCGGACCGCACATTAATACAGAGCCTGCTGGGAAAGAGGCACCTGGGAGCCCATGGAGAGGATAGATTTCAGGTGGATTGTGTCTTCAAGTCTTTAACACCCTGGCGAGGGGTGGCAGTGGTTGCGTGGGCCCACTGGGTTAGCCCATGGGAACGCGACTGGTTATATAGCGTTGGTGGATACCTTCATTGCGAAGGGGGACATTGTTTGTAGATTCCTACAGAGGATTTTGGCTTTGTTTTCGTCGCGTTATTAAACCAGAGAGACATGTTGTTATTAAAAAAAGAAAAAAAAAAAGGTCAACGGAAAAAAAGGCAAAGAAACGGGAAACTGGTACCTTATGCCCCATTGCGTACGAGATTCGGACGAGTGTTGCCATGTTGTATATTACGAGTCCATTTTTTCACTTCAGGCATGTCAGGCTCGGCCATTTCTGTCTCACATTCTTTTATCTTCCAACAAGCCCATAAGCGGTCTTCACCCATGGGAAATAGTGCGCTGCAATTCGGCAGAGGGGGCAATCCGGTTGCACGTCAGAAAGGTGCTTTGTCATTACAACCGCAACGACCATAACACATGCGGCCGGCATGTGGACAGATAGCGTACCTTTGTTCGACCTTGCGCAGGCGACCACCTTCCTCCTGCTGAGATATCTGCTTGCGACATGCCAAACCATTGTGCCTCTAGCGATTTTTATGCCATGAGGTTTTTTTTCGATGAGTGAAGACCAGGTTGCTTTTATAGCGGATTGAAAAGATCGATTCGTGGGTTGAAAGAGATGGATTTTATGCAGAGCAATCATCTGCGTAGATCACTCATAAACTTCCATTTCGCCCAATTCAATTTATTTCGCAAAATCTACAATATCAGTAACACGCGTGTCGTCATCTCTCTGCAGCTGTGCGCGCGGATCCATCGAGGACACCACAGTCATCCGGAACCGGTCCCTCAGCATATCGATGTCGTTAGAATTAATGAACGAAAACTCTGAATATGCCATTTCTAGCAGCTGGTCCATGAGTCGCATGCCCGACAGCAAACTCTGCTTGGCCTTGTTATTTCTGTCGCCTTTATCTTTCTTATGTGTTGCAGAAGATGCCGTCGCCATAGGGTCTTCATCTTCTATGATACTCGCACCTTCAAGCTCAGTCTCCTTGAACCTGTTGAAGTACCCCTGAATTGTCAACACAACGCTCTCGTCATTCTTGCACTGCAGTAACAGGACCTGACAGCTCTTTAGAATAGCTAGGCCCAGCATGAACAGGAATGATGGCCCCTGAAAGAAGAAACAATCCAAGACACGTGCAGCTACTGGTGCCGGGAAAGCTGACTGATAAAGACACAAGAACCAGGGGATTGTGATTGTTGCTTGATCCAAGTCAATCTCCTGAAAATGAGCAGCAACTGCGGGTAAAGAGATCCCAACCAGATGTGCAAAGACTCGTTGATCGACTTGAACGCCTAACAGTGTTTTTGAGTAATAATCCGGTAATAGTTGCTCGCAAACTGTTGCTAACAACCAAAACGCATCTTCTTCCTTCAGGTGGAGAAGCAGGACAGACGCGACGATATTCATCGATTGCGCGTAGCCGATGGATGGATTTCGCCAGGAGTAACTGCCGAGAACTCTTCGGAGAGCTCCTAAACCCATGACCGACTGGAAGGCTGGATGACTCGGCATGCTTCTCATCACGTCCTTTTCGATCTCACCCAGGACAGGTGATGCCTTCTCGGCACTGTTCTGCAGATTTAGTCGATAAGAACCGTCGCCAGATCGGAGATACGAGGCTCCTGATAGCACCATCCATAGCTGCGGGCGAAAGGTCTCAGTGATTCCTTTTAGGATAAGTGACTGGAGCTCCTTAGTTTTTATCATGCACGCATCTTTGCCGTGCAGAGCAAAGTAGTCTACCCACGCGCATTCCAAATCCATGTCGCGTTGTTCTTCCTCTTCTGTGAGTCTGTGCACGCCAGTCGATGACTTCTCTGTCGTTCTTGCGAAAAATAGCTGAAGGCCATGCGGGAGAGGGATAATCATCTCCTGGTCTGCTTGAGCCGAGTCCAAGTTATCCCTGTGGTCCATCTGAGAGCTATCTTCCGACTGACTGCTTTGAGAGTGATCTTGCGACCGTGTCGATCCGATGGCTGAGTCCCGTCTTAGAATACCTTGACTAGTTTGGATTTCCAGGGTTTTGAGCAGCGCTGTAGAGCTGGCTGTGGATCGCCATATCTTATCAACCACGTCATAAAGTTCTTGATTGCTGCCCTGGTTGCGAGTGAATACCAGCGTGGATCGGGAGCGCAGCGTTATCATCGCACCTGGCTGAGGGCGAGCCACCAGAGACATGATGCTCGCAAACGTCTGATTGCGGGTCGGAGAACCGGGGACTGACTGTAGGTTCTGCAGGGGTCCCGACTTGCCAGTACTACTGTTCGAAGGGCTTGACTCTCGCTTCACGTCTACAATCTCCGACAACGGAATGACAAGCGTCAACGCTGGCAGGAAGAGATCGACCGAGGACGCATCTCCGGCAGAGTTGCTCGATGAGGGCGGCCCTGACATGTAACAAATGAAGTTTCGAGACAGATGGAGCGTGCCCTCGTGAGTGTCGATGAAGGACCTTGTTTCCAGAGATACAGCGAATTCCTCCAGTAGCCTCTCTGTAGACGGAAGTCGAAAGATGGAGCGAAAGCGTGCATCCCTCAGATAGGTTTTCAAATCTGACGTAGAGCTGACTAGAAATGCCGGTGCCCTACCAGAGTCGACAGACGAATCTGAAGGTGCTTTCGGTTGGGCCGTCATGTCCGTCATGTCCGTCATTCCTGTAACAAGTAGTCGCATATACGCGTTACAGAAGTGAGTTAGCATATCCAGCACCTCGCGTTGATGAAACTTGGGAAGGAATACACTCTAGAAAGTTAAGAGAAATAAGACGAGAGTTAATTAATGCTGCATTTGACCATCGTTACGCCATGGCGATGTTTGGGAAAGGGTCCTGAATGTGATACCTTTGAGGTTCTTGTTGTAATCACGATGTAGCCTTTCTGTCC